AAAAAGACGAATCACCCAATCATAAAATGGGCAAAGGACTCAGACATTTCGCCAGAGAACATTTAAATGGCACATGAAGAGATGTTAAGCATCATTAGCCATCAGAGAGGTGCAAATCAAAACCATAATGAGATACCATTTCACTTTAAGATGGCTAAACACACACACACACACACACACACACACACACACACAACAAACGTTGGTGATCGGAAAATTGGAACACTTACCCACTGCTGTTGGGAATGCAAAATGGTACAGCCACTGCGGAAGACAGTGTGGTGGTTCCTCAAAAAACTAAAAACAGAACTACCATATGACTCAGCAATTCCACTCCTATGTACCCAAAAAGACTTGAGAGACTCAAAAAGAGACGTGTACACCAATGTTTATTGCAGCACTAATTCACAATAGCCAAAAGGTGGAAACAACCTAAATGTCCAACAACAGATGAATGGATAAACAAAATGTATATACATACAATGGACTACTACTCAGCCAGTAGGAGAAATGAAGTCTTGATACATGCTACAGTATGGATGGAGTTTGAAGACATTCTGCTGAGCAAAAGAAGCTAATCACAAATATTGTATGATCTCAACTTATATAAAAAGACAAGAAAAGGCAAATGTACAGAGAACAAAGTTTATTAATAGTTGCCAGGGACTAGAAGGAGAGAGAAAAAGGGAGTTAATGGTGATGGAAAAAGTGCATTAAAGGTAGGGTTGCACAGCCAATTATTATAATTGGTATTAAAGTACACCTGTAAAAAGTTGAACTGGCAAAAGTTGTGATATATTTACATCAATGACAAAAAAAAAAAAAAAAGAGTGCCTGCTGAAGCTGCTTATGTCCAACCAAAAACCTCACAGGATTTGGTTCCTTGGTTTTAAGGTTTATGGTGATGGTTTCATGGGACATTCCAGTTAATTGGCCTAATAACATGTTTAGTGCTTTTGTTCTACCTCCTACTTCATTTGTAGTGTCTGGAGTCTTAAAAGCTTGCAAGCAGCCATCCAAAGCACAATTGGTCTGTATTCACATGGAGCAAGAGGAAGGAGAGTCAGGAATAAAAGGATATGGAATGTGTGGCAAATTGCCTCCATGAACAACTGTCTCCTTTGCCATGAAACCAGAACTAGATGGTGCCTGGCTACCATGACTGAACATTTTGATCAGAGATTCTATAAAAGAATCCCTGATCAAAAGGGGGGAAATACAGAATTTCAAATTCTCATGAACTCCAGACTTCTGGAGCCATGAAGATTGAATGAACCCCTGGAACTATTACCCTGGGATAATCTTTAAACCTTAGACCAAAAATATCCCCTGAAGTGATCTTAAAACCTCACAATAGTTTAGTTTAACTAAAAAAGGTCTGCCGTGAGCATTATGCCCTTTTAAGAACTATCTATATGGGATCAAATTGACGAAAGTAATTTGAAAGATAGGAACCTTAGGGGAAGTGTGTTTATGTTATTAAGGGAGGACTAACTCAGAAAACGAGGGTAAGAATGGTTGCACAACTCACTCGTAAGTAATCAACGCCACTAAATTATACATGAGAAACGGTGTGTTTTGCTGTGTATATTCTCAACTATATATATGCATATATGTGTATACATATAGCAAAAAAAAGAAACCCATCATAGATTGGAGAGGCCATCAAGTTCTGAGTTGGATATGTGAGTTTGGAGCTTCAGGAAAAGGTCAGGACTGAGAATAGAGATTTGAAATCATCTATGGAGTTTTTTTGTTTTTAAGCAACTGAGACTGGGTGAGATTTCTAGAGAGAATGTATGGATAGAAAAAGAAGTAGGCCCAGGGGAGAATCTAAACTGGTGGCAAGATTCAGAGATGAAGTACACAGAAGCCATTAAAGTAGCAATAAAACCTGAGTCCAACTTCTCAGTATCATACCTGTGGGTGGGCTGAGGGTAGTATAAATTGTCAGCTCTCTGCCAGAAAGGTGGGAGATGTACCCTCTTTCAACTTGGGAAGTGTACAGAAAGGATATGAGTATTTAAAAAAATACATATATATATATATGGGCAGATCATGACATGCCATTAAAAATGTAAGGCATTATTAGTATACTAGTCTTTCAAAAAACAAAAAACAAAAAAAATGCTGACCACTATTACAGCTACAATCTGAATTCAAACTATTTTCAGTGGAATTATGATCATGGAAAATTACAAAGAAAAAAAGCAATTCATCAGTAACAGAAACATGTATGTCTGTATTAATAAAAACTCCTTCCACTACTGGAAGCAAACTTCATTTCTCTATACATCCACTCAACTGAAACTTAAGGAGCACTTACATGTAAGAGATTACATTTAGGTGCTGTTGAAAGAGAAATCCAAGGCTGTATAGAATTTTCCTATCCTTAAGTTTACTACCACCTCCTAGTTGAGCAACCCTGGGCAAGTTACTTAGTCTCTCTGTGCTTTGGTTTCCTTTGTAAAATGCAGATGACAACACTAGCCTTTCAGGGTTGTTGTGAAGATTAAATTAAGAAATATAAATTAAATAGCTTAGAACAACGCTACAGAACCTAGTGTCTTAGTTACCTAGTGCTGCTATAACAGAAATACAAGTGGGTGGCTTTAACAAACAAATTCATTTTCTCACAGGTTAGCAACTAAAAGTTCAAATTCAGGGTGTTAACTTTAGGCAAAGGCTTTCTCTGTTGGCTCTGGGGGAAGGTCCTTGTCTCTTATGAGCTTCTATTCCTTGATGATCGTGGTGATCTCCATGTGGCATGTCATCTACCTTCCCCCATCTCTGCCTGCTTAATTTGCTCTTTTATATCTCAAAAGAGATTGACTTAAAATACATCCTACACTAGTATTGCCTCATTATCATAACAAAGAAAACCCATTCCCAAATAGGATTATAACCACAGGTATACCCGCTGCCGTCAATTCAATTCAGACTCATAGCAACCCCACAGGACAGAGCAGAACTGCCCAATAGGGTTTACAAGGAGCAGCTGATGGATTTGAATTGCCGACCTTTTCGTTAGTGGCCAAGCTCTTAACCACTGTGCTACCAGGGCTCCACCACAAGTATAAGGGTTAGGATTTACAGCACATATTTGTGGGAGGCATAATTCCATCCGTAACACACAGTGAGCATCGTAATAGCATTAGCTATTAAGGGGTGGTAAGGAAACGTCCCTAATTAGTAGCATGGCCTAGGACAGGTAAGAAGGGCCATTTATTGACCACAGATACACAGCAGGCACTCTTCTAGAAAATTCGTGTTATTTTAGTTCGACCCTGTGCAGCAGGTTTTCTCTCCATTTTAGAGAACAGAAAAACTGTCACCAAGCTATTCTGAAATCTAAGATAATACACACCTAATAAATGGCCCAACTCTGAATCAAATTTCAATGACACCAAAATTCATGTACTTTCTGAAGTATCATGCAAGCAACTTAGAGTCAGAAACCCTGATTCTAATTCTGTATCTGCCATCTTTTAGCCATTCAACCACAGGCCTTTTCACTTGCTTATTTTCTAAGAGATGCAGCTTTCTATTTAATAAAACATTTACAATAGACAGGCCCCACATGCCTGCTCCACAGGGTTGTCGCGAGGGTCAAAGTAAAAGAAATCTATGAACTGTAAAATCCTATAAAAATTTTTTTCAGCTGCCTGACTAGTCTCAACTCTCCCCTCTGATGTGCTTCATCATTCCAATGCCAAATACCAATTTCCATACCCAATCCTTAGCAGAAGAAAAACCACCAAAACTAAAAATTTGGTATTTAATTAAGGGCACAGACCTGGATAATCAGAAGTAAATCACTACAGCCTCTGCCCAGTTCCTATGAGGTTTCAAAATTGTATCTAATTTAAATAAGTCACATGAGGTGGCCATCATGCTGGGTACTGATCTGATATTGTCAAGGGAACCACTGATATGGGGTCTAATGATGACTGTAATCACTTTGCAGAATATTGAGAAAATATACGTCAAAATGTTTCTTAACATGTAACATTAACATGGCTGCCTGTGCTTCAGTATGTGATTACAAAAATATCGCTTATATGTACGGTGCTTTTACAATTTCCAAAGATCTTTCATGTTACTTACTCCATTTGATCCAAAAGTTCTGTAAGGTAGGCAAGGAAGGTTTATGCTTGTCTTAGGAGGAGGAAACTTATTTATGTTCACAATCATTTGGAGGCATAACTTAGATCAGGTCCTCAACTCCTATTTTGGTATCTGTACTATATCATGTTACATACATTTTACATTACTCACCAGTACTGATGATTCTACTTTTCAATGAGTAACAGTCACATTTGAAAAGTATTTCTAATAAAAACTGTACATCAGCTTCCTTCCCTTATAAGAACCTTCTGCAAACCAAATTAAATCTCCTACAAAAGAATATGTGGCAACAGTAATCAATTTGCAGAAACTTAACTGTATTAAATGAATCTGCTATGCAGTACCTGAGAAATATACACAAGTTGATAAAGTATTTTGAGTACCTCCCCAATTTTATCAGAGGATGCTGCTCTTAGAACTATGATGAAACTGCTCTGGCCATTAAGTACTAGTAATAATCTAGCAACCATTAATATTATTACTGGCTCAAGAACTAAGTAAATTACAGCAATTTAAAACAATTAATATTTAAAAACACAGGTTTTGAAGGGACACCTTAGAAATTTCAGTAAATGTTGCCTATATTATCAAAATACAGATGAGATTAAAGGTTTGATGCGATATAAAAAAGTACCTTATGAAACAGGACTAACATGGAATCAGCGTGATTTAAGAAAAATACTGTATTGGACATCAGATGCTAGTTCCAGGTCATTTAACCTCTCTGAGCCTCAGTTAACATTCAAAAAAAAAAAAAAAAAAAATCATACTATGAAGTTTAACTGTCTCTATATAATAAGGTTCTGGAAAATTTTGAGTAATATGAGAAAATTTATGATCACAGGCCAAAGATCAAGATTTCTACACCAAAGCAAGATTAGATCAAAACATTTATTTTTTGTGTTACAAAAACAAAAATAAATCCAAGCAGAAAATGAAATGAACATTTTTTGAAGTGTCCCATCCTGGGTTCTCTGCCCTAGAATTTAGTAAACAGTTCAAGTTTCAGTTGCTTCAGTGCTTCTCCCAGATGCTATGAGGTTTCCATCTTATAACCATGTTTCTCTAATTCAGCTCTATAATAAAACACATACAAAAGAACATCACTAAGCATTCTTCATGATAAACTTTTTTTTAAAAGAAATGACACAATTAATAAATTCAGTCAATAAGCTAAGCCTAGGGCATCAATTTAAAATACTGTCAAATAGCTTTACGTTCGTCCCTAAAACGAAACCCATATAAGAAGGAAATTGGATGTGAGTCAACATAATGCTAATTAAATTTGCTTTTCCCACTAGTAAGCTTATCTTGTATCTTTCCTTAATTTTCTTAAAGTTTATTTATGGGAAGAACTGTGAGGGACTTACTGCTATCTTCCAAATACCATACAAATGTTTTGTTCCTAATAAACACTTAAAATTAAAATTTGAGAATCATTAACTAAGAACACAAGACATCAGTTTCAAACCTTTAAACCAAAATGTACCACCATCGAGTTGATTCCAACTCATAGCGACCCTATAGGACAGAGTAGAACCGCCCCATAGGATTCCCTAGGCTAAAATCTTTACGGGAGCAGATCGTCAGGTCTTTTCTCCCACAGAGTGGCTGGTGAGCTTTTGGTTGGCAGTCAAGTGCTTTAACTGCTGTGCCACCAAAGGTCCTTTTCAAATCTTTAGGAATTTTATGATCATCATAACAGGTATACCCTAGACAGAAAAAAATAGATTGTTTTTCATATTGACATGTATATATCACTCTAATAAAAAAAAAAAAACTAATAAAATTTAACGGTGTTTGAGAATTATTCTGCATTAACTACATGCAGACAAAAATAATATAATAAATAAGTTATATAATGTTAAATAAGACTTTACTATCCTAATTTTGGAGCCCTGGTGGCATAACGGTTAAGAGCACGGCTGCTAACCAAAAGGTCGGCAGTTGGAATCCACCAGCTGCTCCTTGGAAACAGTTTGGGGCAATTCTACTCTGTCCTATAGGGTTGCTATGAGTAAGAATCGACTATACGGCAATGTGTTTGTTTGTTTTTTGGTTTTATCCTAATTTTAATGTAGATGAAAATGTCAAAATTACATATTGGTACAGATACACACACATATTAAAAAAACACTTTTAATAATTTTAAATAATTCACTCAACCTGAGGTTTCAGTCACACTTTGAGAATGCCAACTGCAAGTGTTGTTGTGCCTTATATAAAACACTTGCAGTAAAAAAAGTTTAGTCCTGTAATCAGCTTCAAGTATTTAGCATTCAAATATCACCAACTACTTGTCCGCCACAATTCAGATTTTATAAAAGTTTAAGAAAAACTTATTGGTGGGCAAGCCTATGATAAAATATTGTATAAATATGAAGTTGTGATTAATGTGCCCTAAATCATTACATCCAGTAAGATAAAAAGACATTTGTTCTCAAGTATAATTTGGCTTAGAAACCATCACACTACGCAATGCAAACACAGTGCAAAAAATACATGGAAAGAAATGATGTATAACATCATTTCCCCAAACTTCTTTGCTTACCTAAAACTTTAACAGTTATTTATAATTATTGACCTAATTTTCATGAATAATATTAAGGTCAGAGATTATTCAAATGAATCATCCTTGTCTTCCACTCAGGTGTAGAAGGCAGTATGAATTAGTGGTATAAACACTGGTTAGGAGTCAAGAAACTAGTGCATGTCTCTGACTCTGCCCCTTCTTTTACTAAGTTCAACTAAATTGCTTTCTTTGGACTTCCCTCACTCAGAAAAATGATTATAAAGTCTGTCCTTCACGTATAAAAACATATTCCCTTTGTTGTCAGGACTAAATGAGAGAAAGTTATACAAATACAATGTAGAAATAATGTAAAAACTTAAGGTCAAAGGGAAAGATTAAAAGCATCTATTTTCATTTACCACAGAAAACTTCTCAAATATTTTCTGTAAGAACTTACTACCAATCATTAGGGAATATGGCATTAGTCTTTGAATTTTATCTCACACTAAAATTTTATACCTTTCCTATTTAAAACGGAAGTAATTTTAAAACTTTCTTAGATGTAAGTTTTCTGCTGCCTTTTCAAAACCAATGTAGATTATTCACTTTCTCTTATTTAACAAAACAAACCTAAGGTTCAACCTAAGGTTTAAGTAACAGGAACACCAAATTTGCTCAAGATTTGTGTCTGTTTGTCTCCCTGATAGGAGGTGATCATCAATTATGTTTATAAATTGTTTATAAACACCAAGAAATGATGAAGTGCTTTTCTATCAGCTATATGAACAGTTATTTGTTAGAATTTAAGTAGTATAAGAACCAAAAGGAAAATAAATTGAGGCCACTAAGAACAAAACCCCAAACAAAACAAATACTAACATGAGGCTGATGGATGGTTTAAAAAAAAAAAAAACCAAGGACAAGAAAGAGGGAAGCACCCCAGCACAACGGGAACATCACAGGTATAAGACGACACACATGGCGAATGTAGACTATCTGAAGCAAAAGCAGCAGCATGCCTTTTGTAAAAAAACAAGAAAAAAGACTAATAATAGTCACTTGCAGGTTTGAGGCCTCCTCTTACTATCTAAGAAAGTACTCTGCTGATTTTATGGTGGTGGCTATATCTGACACGGTTAATGAGGAATTACACTGGCTTCTTGGAGTTTTTATGTAAGATGTGATGTAGGGTCTGGGAAATCTCATAATGCTACCTAGTTCTACTGATATGTGAAAAAAAATCAGAAGCAGCAAAAAAGAATGACTTTTAGAAACTTGGAGACACAGGTGGTCTTTTTCCTTTTGTATCTACTTATTAAAGGAACAGAGAAACAGAAAGTAAGTAGCTTGCTATAAGGAAAGTATTAAACTATTTAACATATGCTTATATAGCATTTATGTATGGATGCTAAGCAAATAATCTGAGCTGGACTATATGAAGAACACGACATCAGGACTGGAGGAAGACTCTTTAACAACCTGTGATACGTAGATGACACAAACTTGCCTGCTGAAAGCAAAGAGGACTTGAAGCACTTACTGATGAAGATCAAAGACTACACAGCCTTTAGCATGAATTACGCCTCAACATAAAATAAAAATCCTCAGAACTGGACCAATAAGGAACATCATGATAAATGGAGAAAATACGTTAAGTTGTAAAGGATTTCATTTTACTTGGATCCACAATCAACCCCCACGGAAGCAGCAGTCGAGAAATCAAATGATGTATTGCATTGGGCAAATCTGCTCCAAAAGACCTCTTTAAGGTGATGAAAAGCAAAGACGTCACTTTAAAGACTAAGGTACACCTGACCCAAGCCATGGTATTTTCAATTGCCTCATATGCATGCAAAAGCTGGACAATGAATAAGGAAGACCAAAGAATTGATGCTTCTGAATTACAGTACTGGCAAAGAATACTGAATATACCATGGACTGCCAGAAGAACGAACAAATCTGTCTTGGAAGAAGTACAGCCAGAATGCTACTTAGAAGCGACAACGGTTGAGACTTTGTCTTATATACTTTGTACATGTTATCAGGAGGGACCAGTCCCTGGAGAAGGACATGATGCTTGGTAAAGCAGAGGGTCAGTGAAAAAGAGGAAGATCCTCAATGAGATGGACTGACACAGTGGCTGCAATAATGGGCTCAAACACAGCAATGATTGTGGCAATGGTGCAGGATCAGGCAGTGTTTCTTTCTGTTGTGCACAAGGTCGCTCTGAGTCAAAACTGACTTGACGGCACCTAACAACAACCATTTAATCCTCATAGCAACCCTATGAGTAAAGTACTAATTATCATCTGCATTTTATAGATGAGAAAAGTGAGTCACAGGGAAGCTCAGTGACTTGCCCAAGATTCATATAGCTAAATAAGAGGCAGATCTGGGGTTGGGACCTGAGATTCTGAGCTACCTCTGCCAAGTTAGAGAACTTATGTCAGAAAACAGTAAATCATGTTCTTACCATGGCTTATGATACCACACTAAGGACTTTGAGGGATTTTACAAAGACTAGGAAGAACATCTTTGCAGAAGACTTATAAATCAAGACAAGTTTTGAAAGCAAGGATATATTGTCTGAAGCTGTGCTGTCAATATAGTAGTCACATGTGGTTATTTAAATGAATTAAAATTAAATAAAATGAAAACTTCAGTTCCTCAGTTGCACTAGCCACATTTCAAGTGTACATAGCCACATGTTGTACTGAATAGTGCATGTTATAGAATATTCCATCACCACAGGAAGTTCTACTTGACAGCAATGGTAAGGTATCAACAGCCTTAGTGAAAAAGAACTCATGACTCTAACAGGGAACTAAAAAAAGAAAAATTTTATTCACTAATAGAGGCATTAAGATTTATACACTTAAAGAAACCCATAAACCTAATGGCAGAAACACAACAGAGAACACCCAGAGCATTGTGGGGATGTGTTATAAAAAACAAGCCACAAACAATATATAAATAATGCTCTATTTGCAAACCAGTAAAATAGCAAGACGTAGTAGTAATGAGAAATTCAATTAACAATACATTACTAAAAGCCCCTTGATAAATTCATAGTATTGGATAAAGTCTTGACACGATTTTATGAGAGAAGTACTATTTTCTGATTAATGACAGACATAAAAGAAATAAAACTTTGGAGAAATCTGACTGTTTTGAATGACAAACACAGAACATACTCCTTTGGCCTCAACTTTAAAAAGTAAATTTCAGGAAGATAACAGAAAATAAAAATTGACATATGATTAAAAACATGGAATAGGGCTCAACAGAATTGGAATGTCTGAAAATAAAATTTCTAATGACACGATGTCATCCCAATGAGGAAGAGAACAGGGGATGCATGTAAAGAGAAAAGACAGCAGAGTGTTCTCTGATGTGCCTCAATTTTAAAAAGAGAAAAAACAAAGATAAATGCAAAAAAAGACACTGGCATGAACTTGTAAACATAGCATTAGCTAAATCCCAGAATGAAAAAAAGAACAAAAAGGGCTTTGAGTGCCACATATGGATGAAGAAGAATGAGAAAGAATAGGTCCAATGCTTGGGATAGATGGTATAATATTAACAAATTTTAGAGGAAAAGCTCAACAGCTATTGTTCTTATCTTGTCCATAAAACTACAAAAGGAAAAGCAGCATCATTAAGGTGAAACTGAAAAGCAAGACAAATGAGGTAACTCCAAACTGCATTAAAGTGGTTTAATAAAGTCTCAAGGCTCCAAATAATTGCAACTGGGAGTAGAAAGAACTGATACAGTAAAAAATAAGAGTCAGCAATCTTTGAGAAATCATGAAGAACTGTAAATGGACCAGACTAACAGTGAAAGGTAAATATAAATTGGACTATTTTCAAAAAGGGAAGAAAGGAGATCAGTAAAACTGTTATCAGTCTCTAAAATGTCTTTAGAATGTAAAGCTTCTGAGGCCTCTCCCCACAAAAAAGCAGTGTTAAAAGAGCTACTGTATCTTTATTAAAAATAAAAGGAAAAAAAATTTAAATCATTAGAAATTATCTCACTTCCTTTTTGAACAAGGATACTAGACGAGTAAATTAGAAGATTTTAATAGTTCTTCTGTATCTTTATTTCAGCAAAGTATGTGACAGTCTATTTAGAAATCCTTGTGGCCAAAACAGATAAACATGGGTTGAATCAAAATAAAATTAGGGAGAATGGAACAACCAGAATGGAAATAATGAGAATACTCACATGCTGTGAAGAATGTTACCAATGTCAATGAACAATTTGTACAGAAATTGTTGAATGGGAACCTAAACTGCTGTGTAAACCTTCACCAAAAACACAATATTATTTTAAAAAAATAAAGAAAATTAGGGACAAGAACAAATGGTTTTCAACAAATGATGCTGAGACAACTGTACATCCACTTGTAGAAGAATGAAGTTGGACCCGCACCTCACACATCATATACAAAAACTTAATCCAAAATGGATTGTAGACTTAATGCAAGAAGCTAGAATTACAAAGCTCCTCAGGAGAACACACAGAATAAGTCTGTGACCTTGAATTAGGCAATCGATTCTTAAATATGACACCAAAAGCAACAAAAGAAAATATAAATTGAATTTCATTAAAACTAAAACTTTTGTGCAAAGGACACTATCAACAAAGTGAAAAGATAACCTAAAGAACAGAAGAAAATATTTGCAAATCATATCTAATAAGGGTCTAGCACCCAGAATACGTAAGGAATTCTTACAATGCAACTAAAAAATGGGCAAAGGTTTTGAACAGACATTTCTCCAAAGAAAATATACAAATGGCCAACAAGCAAATAAAAAGATGCTCAACATTGTTAGCCATTAAGGAAATGCATATCAAAACCACAGGGAGATGCCACTTCACACCCATTAGTATGACTATGACCAAAACACTGGAAAAGAACAGATTTTAACAAGGATGGGGAGAAATTAGAACCCTTCTATATTGCTGATGGCAATGTAAAATGGTGCAACCCGGGCAGCTCCTCAAAAAGTTGAACATAAAATTACCATATGACTCAGCAATTTCACTCTTCAGTATATACTTAAAAAAAAAAAACAACAAAAAACAAACAGGTATTCAAACAAAAACTTGCATGAATGTTCATACCAGCACTAGTCACAACAGCCAAAAGCTGGAAACAACCCAAATGTCATGGAGTATTATTCAGCCATAAAAAGAAATGAAGTACTGATACATGCTGTAACATTGATGAACCCTGAAATCCCTATGTTAAGTGAAAGAAGCCAGACATGTAAGCCAGATCACACATTTCAGATTCCATTTATATGAAATACCCAGAACAGGTAAATCCATAGAGACAGAAAGCAAGGTTGCCAGAGGCTGGGGAGAAACAGGGACAGGGAGTGAGGCTTAATGGTTTTGGTGTTGCCTTTTGGGGCACTGAAATGTTTTAGAACTAGACAGAGATGATGATTGCACAACATAGTGAACATATTAGATGTTACTGAATTGTACACTTAATATGGTTAATTTTATGTGACTTTTATCTCAATAAAATAAATAAGGTTTTTTTTTTAAGAATATGAAAAAATACACTCTTACCACCCCAATCTCCATTCCAGCTTGAGAATCATCAACATATTGGATCCCAGCACTTTATGATTCTAATTTCTGCTGAAATATTCAATACTGGCAGAGAACTGACATTGACAGAATTAAACCCACAAAGATAAAACATAGCAAATGTGATTCTATTTAATTACTTTTGTAAAGAGACTAAAAAAGAATAAAAATTGTACACAATTACACAAACTATTCATGCTTAGAAACACAGATGAAGGCAACATTTTTATATTTATATATTTTTATAACTCAAAAACATATTTCAAAGATTAATTATCTTTCAAAAGGTCAACTATAATATGTAAGTTGCATATTACATGCTAACAATTAATACAGAGCTATATAAATCTTACCGTAACTGATTGGAGAAGTCATCCTCTACATTGTCATCATCCCAATTATCCTCCCAGACATGTGCATCTTCATCTTCATCTAAACCAGCCCAGTCTAAAAACAGAAACAGATGCAGTCTAAATATTACTCATACATTATTTCCACAAATACAAAAACTTTAGAAAGCTCCTCACTGAATCACCCTCATAATTAAAAAATATCTAATACCATATCTATGAGAAATGGTAATCTTCCTCTTTAAATCTCAAAGTTTATGTTGTTTTGTTCTATCAATTCTTGAATTTGCAGATCTAAAATAGAAGTTAATACAAAAGAATTCTATTTGCCATGAAAAGTTATTATACTTCTAGGGAGGATATTTACTTTCCCAATTTTTCCTTGGGCTAATTTCATAAGACCTATTTCATACATCTTTCAAAACACAGCAACAACAGCCCAAAGCAAGTTGAGCAGCAGGAAGATACCAGCTCAGCATTCAAAACTGCTAAATATAAAAAAGGATAGCTCATACAAACATATTAAAATAGGTTAAATTATAAATCATCACTAACATTTGGCTAATATCAATATAAAATTTAGATTTTTTAAAGAAAGGATAAATATAAATATGCATAAAGAATGTTATAGTTTCTAGTTTTCAAAATTTTATTTTTTCTTCCTTTCCTTTTTGGTGGTGGTAGCAAGGATTTAAACTGAGATTTCAGCTTTCACTCATCATAGTTAGAAAACACATATATAAACCAACATCATCTTCAGGCAGTCTAGTACCAGAATACTGAGCTATAAGAAGAGCACAAGAAATTATAGACTTTCCTACACCCAAATCTCTAGTCATTATTTTTATTTCAGAAACCAAGGGGCATATAGTGACATATAGGCTGCCTCCCACTACATCCCTTCCCATATGCTCTTCAGTAGTAGTCTATGCGGCAGAATGCCTAAATTAGGAATCCGTCCATGGTCCATGCTTTCCTTTACTGCCTCCCTGAGTAATGTATTTCAGCAACGTTACTGATTTCCCAATCTGTCTCCACTGCAGAACTAACTCTCCCTTAAGCTTCAGAACTCTACATGCAACTGCCTGATGGACACAAATTCTGCATAATCAAAACTTAACTCATCATCTCGAGCTTCCCCTACCTCCAACTAACATGCTTTCCTGACCTAAGAAAAAATGCAAATCTATCCATAATACCAGGTGCTGGGGGAATTGTCCTAAATTTCCTCCACTTTCTATGACCAGGTAGGACCCTGGTAGCACAGAGGTTAAAGTGCTTGGCTGCTAATCAAAAGGTCAGCAGTTCAAACACACCAGCTGCTCCATGAGACAAAGATGTGGCAGTCTGCTTCCATAAAGATTTACAGCCTTGGAAACCATATGGGGCAGTTCTATTCTGTCCTACAGGGTGACTATGAGTTGGAATGAACGCGATGGCAGTGAGTTTGGTTTCTGGTTTTGGGTTTCCATGACCAAGTCCTGCCCATTTTATCTCCTAAATCATTCTCAAATCTATCCTTGTCTTTCCAATCCTATGATTTCTGCTCTAGATCAGATATCCACATTATTCTTTCTTACCTATACAAGGTTAATATTCTTCTAACAGGTTCTTCTTACTTCTCTCTTGATCCTGATAAAAATCTAGACTCCAGAGTGGTATCATCATTAGGTAGTCTTTTCTCATATAAGTGAGATCATAGAGCATTTGTCCTTTTGCAACTGACTTATTTCGCTCAACATGTTTTCAAGGTTAATCTATGTTGTGGAATGCGTCAGAACTTCATTTCTCTTTACGGCTGTGTACTCTTCCGTTTTATGTATATTCCACATGTTGTTTATTCATTCATCTGTTGATGGACATTTTGATTATTTCCACATTTTGGCTACTGTGATAAGTGCTGCAGTGAACATTAGTGTACAGGTTTCTGTTTGCATTCCTGCTTTCACTTGTTCCACGTAAATGCCTAAGATTGAGATTGCTGAGTCATACGGTAGTTCTATGTTCCAACTTTTTGAGGAACCGCCAAACTGTTTTCCACAGTGGCTGCACCATTTTACATTCCCACAATCAATGGATGAGGGCCCCACTTGCTCCACAACCTTCTCAACACCTGTTATTTTTCTTTTTTTTTTTTTTGGTCATTGCCATTCTAATAGGGATGACAAGATACCTCACTGTAGTTTTGATTTGCATCTCCCTACCAACTAATGAAGGAACCCTGGTGGTGCAGTGGTTAAAAGCACTTGGCTGCTAACTGAAAGGTCAGCAGTTCAAACCCACCAGCTGCTCTGCGGGAGAAAGATGTGGTAGTCTGCTTCCATAAAGATTTACAGCCTTGGAAACCCCGTGAGGCGGTTCTACTCTGTCCTGTATGGTCACTATGAGTCGGAATCAACTCGATGGCAGTGGGTTTGGTTTGAGAATGGCTAATGAACATCTTTTCATGTGGTTGTTGGGCATCTGAATATCCTATTTCGTGAAGTGTCCGTTCAAGACCTTTGCCCATTTTTTGATTGCGTTGTCTTTTTGTTGTCAGGTTGTAGGGGGAAGAAAAAACCAAACCCACTGCCACTGAGTCAATTCCAACTCATAGTGACCCAACAGGACAGAGCAGAACTGCCTCATACGGTTTCCAAGGAGTACCTGGTGGACTCAAACTGCCGGCCTTTTGGTTAGCAGCCATAGCTCTTAACTACTACGCCACCAGGGTTTCCAAGTTGTAGAAGTTCTATATATATTTTGGATATTAGGCCCTTATCCAATACATGGTTTCTGAAAATTTTCTCCCAATCTGTACTGTCTTTTTCATTTTGTTGTTAAAGTCTTTTGATATACTACTGTACTCTTTAAATTACATCAAACTATCTCAGATGCCACCACCTGTCTATCAGCTTGTCATACTGTGGTGGTTTGTCTGTTGCTATGATACTGGAAGCTATGCCACTAGTATTTCAAATACTAGTCAGGTCATTCATGGTGGACAGGTTTCAATGGAGCTTCCAGACTAAGACAGACTAGGAAGAAAGGCCTGGTGATCTACTTCTGAAAATTAGCCAATGAAAACCCTATGGATCACAGAATACTGTTCAAGACTTCTACTTGCTTACTTTGGACGCATCATCAGGATGGACCAATCACTGGCGAGCCAGCAAAGACGATGGAAACCCTCAATGAAATGGAATGACACAATGGCCACAAAAGTGAACTCAAATATATCAATGATTACAAAGATGGTGCAAGACTGGATAATGTTTCATTCTGTCATGAGTCGGAGCCCACTCAACAGCAACTAACAACAACCACCATCTCACATGCAAGAGTTTATGCACATTCTGCCTTCCTTCTACTTATGTTGACCTACCTGCTATAATCTTGACATCGTTTTATCATTTTAAAAATATGTATTACCATACTTTTACGCGAACAATGCACACCTTTTACATTTGTTTATCAATGACGCCCTCCTCACACCCTGCAAGATATTTCTGTAAGCACATTATGCTAATTTTTGTTTTTTTAGAGAAACATGTAAAAAAAAAAAAAAAAAAACTGCCATAATGGCACTTACGAAAATACCTTGCAGGAGGAGGGCGTGGATGGCAAACATAGAAGGTGCACATAATTTGCGCAGAATACTGCATAATGAATGTTTTAAAACAAAAATATTTTAAATTACTTAACACTGAAATCCACTGGGAAGATTCCCTCATGTTAGCCATGTAGTTTAAAGTACTAATACACATTTCCCCAATGGGATAACCACAACAATGAAAGATGACCACAAAATCTTCATTTTTCTTCAGCCCAAACTTTACACTTCATGCTTTAAAACAGCCTAACAGTTTCTATTCATCAAATATTTCGTGTTGCTCCTTATCTGTCTTTGGTTTTTGCCATCTCTCAAACCTAATTACTTTGCGTGACTTCAGCTTACTCTGAATTAGCTCAAATATGCATTCCCTATTTAAAGGACCCATGGCTCCCTAGGGAAATGGATGATTCCAGATTTGGGACAGGGAAATTACTAGGTGAGTCTCGAATCTTTTTATGCCTGAAAGCATGTCAAAAGCAGCCAGAAACTGGCTTAAAACCAGATCTGGGACAACTTAAGAATCAAAAAGAATGGCAGTAATGGATTATAACACATTGAATTTTTTAAAAATCCATGAGAAAGGTGGGTTGGAAAAAGGAATGCTTTTCTTTACAGTTTCCAGGTGTATAGATATAGAAAGGTTGACAGAATCAGAAAATCATCATGCAACCCCCAATGCAATTTAGACAAGGATCAACAATGGATGTTAAAACTAATGGGTAAAAAATGGTTAGACAACAGAACAGATTACTTCCTTGTACAAAGGGGAAAATGGAGAGACCTGGTAGTCATCATCTTAGCCAGGTGATCAAACTTAGCATCACCAATAAATGGGACAAGCTGACATGTGTCACTTGATTTGATGCAAATGTAAGAAATACTCTTGCTAAAAATGTTGATCCTGAATCTAACGATAAGGAAACTATCAGGTAAATCCAGACTGTACTTTCTACAACTGGCCCCTTCATATAAGTCAATGTCATGTAAAACAAAAAGAAAAAAAAGAAGGGAAGCTGTTCTAGATACTAAAGTGATATAACCACCAAATATACTGTGTAAGTAAAGTGACTGAACATTGGATTGGGGAAAAAAGCAGTAAAAGATATCTTTGGAAGAGCTGAAGAAATCTGAACATGGACTGTATATTTGGATGATATTATTGAATTAATGTTAATTTTCTTAGATGTGAATGTAAAATTGGTTTTATAAGAGAATGTCTTTATTCTTGTGACATTCATGGTGAAATATTTAAGAGTGAACTGTCATTTTGTTGGTAACTTACTTGCAAATGGTTCTCATACATATATGGAAAGAGATAATGAATGATAGAAATAAAGCACATATGGTAAAATGTTAAAGTTGATTTATTGTACTATTCATTGTACTGTTCCTTTAACTTTTCTAACAGGGTTGAAAAGTTTCAAAATTTAAATGTGGGAAAAATATTTTTATAAATATCGGCTTGGAAATAACCTCCTCTGGAAGTCTTCCCTAACCCCTTT